CGGCGTGGGAGCCCCCGCCCGAGGCGGTCGCCGCGCCCGCGAGCCCCTCCTCCGTTTCCGAGGTCCATCGGTCGGAGAAGGACCCCGACTTCACCGCGAGCTCGTCAATCCGGCCGCAGAGCCAGGAGGAGGAGGGGGCGTCTCCCGTGGAACCCAACCATGAGAGGTGTCCGAGCGGGGAGGCGCTGGATCCGGTGGGGCAAAGCTCCATTGAGGAGGATCACGTTAACTATCAATCCTTAGGTGTCTTCTTGGCGAGGTATTCTCATCTTCTTCCGACTATGTCTAAGCAATACAGCAAAGCACACCATCGTGATCTCTGTGGTGAAACTAGTAAGGTCTTTTTTTCGAGCCTTGAGATGTTGGAGGACCCCAAGTCCGAGAACCAACGACGCATTGAGTGCATTGAAAGGATGCGCTCACCGTTGGATTTAAGTGTGATGAAAGCTGCAACTCGTCAGAAGCCCCTCAAAGAAAAAGTGAGAGGGAAGAAATAGAGTCTTCTGGTTCCCGTTCGCAGTGCTGTTGCAACGCATAAGAGAATCATCATCTTCGCCTAACAACTTTGTCCCCCTCGGCTAAAGTCATCTCGAAGGTAATCTAGCTTTGCATTGACATCACTGAGGACTGCGGGACAACTTTTCCCATTGAGATAGCGACCAAGACGGAAATTATGCAACTGAGGAAGCTTTCTGTAGGGATGCATTGTCGCCTTCCTCGATTGGCGGCGCGAACGCTACCTCTTCTTCACGTCGCCAAACATGATGGCTGGGCGAATTAGCAAAAAACAGAAATGTGTATCAATGCATGATATAGAATTCTATCATAGTTTTTTTTTTAAAAGAGTAATATTATTTCAATAGCGTCGTATGGGTGTGTTATGTCTTTGTGCTAGATATTCTGTACAGGTAGGAATCATTAAATTGAAAGGAAGATGCCTTAATTCTATATTTACATGCAGGATTTCGTTGTATGGGTATGCATGTCGAATTCATCTTTGTAGCTGTGCCTCATTTGGTTTCTCTTGTTAAGGCCATTTTCTTCACGGAGCAAATCCGTAAGAAATCCGACAAAACAAGGTAACATTTTAGGTTATCTCTAATTTTGAAAGAAGCCACAGGAGTGGGTTCTTTTTTGTTATTGATTATTAGGTATTTTCATGGATCGGTGTGTTCCCGCACCATGGACCATAAGAAAGAGTGGCCCGCTCATTCGTTTCCGCGTCATCCGTCGCACCATCATAACGAACATCGAGTTGGATGTGAGGCAAACATCGAAGCCATTCGTCATATGGGCGTATGTTTTGCCTCCTAAAAGTTGCAAACCCGCGGATGAGATTAACGCCTTATCGCCGCCATATGTTCTTGCAGGTGGAGATTTGGCAGCGGATGGCGATGCGGAGGCTCCTACGGTACCCTGCCTTCAGCAGCGTTGGGAGCTGGCAGCGGGTAGCAGGATGTGTTTGTTGATAGCACCTAGGAGCGCGCCAAGGGAGGCGGTTCAGCGCACCCTCGCTATCGGAATCTCACCCACCCAGCACGCATCTCATTCTTCCAAGAGATCCTCGCTGCGTTCGGAGCCGGATGAATTGCTGCATGAAGGCAACGAAGAGGTGAGCTTGGATGGCGTTGTGGAAGTGCGTTTAGTCGGTCTTAGTGTGGGACTTCCGTTTTTTGAGGAGGAGCCCGAATGGCGGCCACTGCTTGTGCGACAGTGGTTAGAGCTAAAGAGCTACGTGCGTGAGGCAACCGTTGTGATGCAGCCTGTAGCAACGCACGACTCCCTGGATATGGTGAAGAAAGAGGAGTCATTCGCGATGCACCAAGGTGATGTGAAGAAGGCAGTTGCCGTGAGGGCGGATGGAAACTGGGTGAAGTGGTACGACGGGTCTGTTGGTCTGATGGATGAGTTGAAGTTTTTCCATCGTACCTATAAACCTGCTAGAGCGAACAAAGTCGTTAGGGTTCGGCGACACCCCCATCGCTACTCCGATGTAATTGGTGAGATTCCGTTTGGACTTGAAGTGCACAGCCTTGGGCGCGAAACGGACCAGTTTACTGGCGAGCTGTACGCTTTGATTTACCTTCCGGAAGATCCATCCTATTTTTCCTACATACAAACCTACGAGTTGACTTCCTGTGGTGGAGTCTGGGTTTGGGGATGGTCTAAGATTATCGGGAAAAGTGGACTTCCGTTTCTTGTTGAGGTGGAGCCGTCGAGTAAATCAAAAGCCGTCTATATGGTATCGGATGAACAAACGAAGTATTCGCCGCTTTCGAAGGGCAGCATTTTCACCTGTGCCCGGGATAACAAAGGCGTACGCATACGAAAGAAACCTTCTCTCAAATCTGAGAAAATTGGACAACTGCAACCTAACGAGGTGAAGGAGGCCATCGCTCTTTTGCGTGTGGAAAACAATCATCCGGTGCCGTCGGCAGGTGATGGGGATAGGCCCAGCGTACCCTCCGAGATTACTAAAGATACTGAGTGTTTTGAGTTTGTGGAGTGGAAGGATGGTGGCTTTTCTTTGATTCATAATTCACACGATACGTTCTTAACTAAGGTTGAGCTAATTTCTGGTGCAGAGGCGTTTTTTCCATCGACACCTCTAGAGTTGCCAAAAAGCGTAGTTAAGGCGCACAACGCTTGCGATGATTCGTCGACAGACACACCTGAGAGCGATCAAAAGCGATTTAAAAGTGAAACGTTCGTTCCTTCCTTTCTTTGAGATGCGCGTGGTGGTGTCATACGTCGGTGGAGTGTATACTTTCTATCGACGTGTCTGAGTGGTAATCTTCCCTGCGTTCGTCAACTAACAACGGGGGTTCCTTGTAATCGCTACTTAGTTTCCTGGTATATTCATGTTTACAATTTTTGAATCTCGAACCGTCGCATTGGACTCCTTCGTTTTTTTCATCCCTCCTTTTGTGAAATTACGAGTTTATGTTCGGATACATCCATTTGTTCCTAAAGAAATAGATGAAGCTTCACCTAAAAAAATAGAAAGGCTCGATAATATATTGAAGGGCTTATCCTTAAAAACGGCAATAGTAGAGTTGTTTCTTGTGATTCAATGGATAGCTAATCCTGCTAAGAGTTTTGCATATCCTTGATTCCAACGTCAAAGCCACTAATATTCTTTCTTCCAAGCATATCATTTCCTTGGGTGGAGGGAGGATCTCGTGATCGCATCTTCTAAGGGTGTGAGGTACATTAGTGAAGTTGTTTGCTTGCTAGACGGGGTGTACGTACCCCCGGATGATGCTTTTGATGGTGTACCTTGTCTAGCCCAGCTTTTGTTTGGTGGCGAATCTGTTCATCTAAGCTGCAACCTATGTACAGTTTAGCCTGAGATTGCTGGTGAGCTCCTCATACATGGTCGTTGATTCAATAAGAAAATCCAGCACAGGTTACTATATAAAAGTGTAGCATGTATTTTCAGGATTGAACCACACAGGGGTAGTCAAGGGCTTGGGAATCATATTTACCCGCCGCTTGACGTCGCGGAGACAACTCCCCCTATAAACATTGATGTATCGGTACATCATGTGGGGCCCTGCCTAATAGGCAGTCAGTTTTTAAATTTCAATTTTTATGCTCCCTCTAAAGTGTATATGTAGGTCATTTTTCCGATTTCAAATTTCGCCAATCATAGGTGGTAACTGGTAACAATTGATGGGAAAACAGTCAACCGTATTGTGTAAACTGTATATAATTGCGTAATTTACAATTTCCCAACACAGTATTGGTGGGCATACGAGTTGATTTAGATGAATAGATCCAATCCACCCGGACATATGTTGAGGATAAATTTTCCATCACAGCTGAGAGTCTACAATATCCTGTTACTGTTAAAATATTGTTAAGGTTCTTTTTTCTTAGCTAATGTTCTTTCATGCAAGCAAATCATTGTAATACACAATAAAGAAATGGCACACATAGCCGTTACCCTCAAGTATATTGATAGGGTGCATATACCATATTGATAGTAACAAAACGATGATATTATATTATTTTTTATATTTTAAACCTCCTCATTGTGCGTCTCAAATGCGCTGACTCCAGTATTTTCCGTTCTATATTCAGAAGCGCAAAAGTTTGCTTAGGCTGGGTGCATTTTTTTGCGAGTAATGGTCGCATTTGTTCTATTTTTTATTAAAAAATTATGTATTTTAAAAACTACACAGATCAACCTTGAACAGGAGTGTGTCGATTAACTTCAGCTTGTGGACTTTTTTTGCCAACACAAACAGGTGAATGTGAAAGTTACACTGCATTTCTACTGTTCTAGAAGCCATGAAATGTGTAATATATATATACAAGAATAATCGAGAGCTCTCTAGTTCAGATAGGTCATCATGTTTTGCAATAACAAAACACTTTTTCTTTACTAGTGAGCGACATTCCCTTATATTAAATTCTCTTTCTGCCTAATTTTCATCTAGTGACATACTAATAGTTTATCCACTCCTTAGTCCCTGTGTTCTTTTGTATTCAGCAAAGGCATAAGTCGAATCATAAATAAGGTTTGTTAATTTTCGAATCCCAATATTGCACAAAGTGCCTTAATTATTACATCAAGTTTTCTTAACTTGATCAATATTTTTTTTAGGTGGAGTACCCCCCTCAATACCTCTAGAATTACTTATACTATAGGAAACGAAACACTATAAAAAAATTATTTACACTAGTATTGTTATTACATCGTAAAACTTCAAAATATATCGGAAATACATTTTCTGAAATTCAAATATACTTTTGTAAATACAAGTGAAGAGCTTTAGCTCGTTAAAAGAAAAGTGG